ATCGGCCAGGAACAGAGTTAATGGTTCGAAATGAAGAACGAATGGAGACATGGGTCAAGAAAAGGAAGATCACAAAGTATTGGCACTAAGAAAGAAGAAAGGAATATGTTGTACTAGGAACTGTCGAAGGCAAAGTTGAAGGGAAGTCTCGAGATGGTAGGCATCCTGCGTGGTGGATAGACATCAGTACGAATTGGGAAGGTCGATTGGGAGTAGCGAGAGTGTATGCGCAAGAGAGAAACCGACGGCCGGAAGGGCTACTGCATAACATACATGAAGTATAGTATACAAATATACACTGTCTTGAGAGGTTCTGGTTAAAACTATGCGCAAGAGGTGACTCCAATAGTACTATTTGCTGAGGGGCGCAGCCTCTTGCGCATAGTTTTAACCAGTACCTCGAATAGAAGGCATGGTATATTTGTTTCATATCCTGCTTAAAAATATATATATATATTTATTATTAAAAAATATTTAAAAAACATTTTTGGGGAGAAATTTTTATCCAATTTTTATCCAAAAAGATTTAAAATATTTTGTTTTCATTAAATTAAGATTTAAAAAAAAAAAAAAATATATATATATATATATATATATATATATATATACATTTTTTTTCTAACTCCCAAACTTACTCCCAAATAGTTCTCTCATATAGTACTTTCTAAAAATAGTTCACATATTTCTGTTCGTGTGACGAGCTCTCAACCAATCAAGAGCCAACAAATTTTTGATGCAGGATATAATAGTAACTATATTCTATATCAGGCGCGGATCCAGGATTTTCCAATAGGGGGGGGGGGCCGGAAATTTGAAAATTGCGCAGACCTTTTTTTAAAACTCAACATATCAATACTTACAAGGTCATATTAGAAGCACCATACCGGTACAATTTTTGTCATTTCAATCGGGGGGGGGGGGGGCTATAACCTCTTGCCCGAAAAAGTAATTTTCTGGTTTCACAATTCGGCTAGTGAGCGAAGCGATCGAGCAAAAATTTGAGCATAATAATTATGTACATGCATATTAATAAAGTGTTATTTATCACGAAAATAAACGAGAAAAGATATCAAAAATTCATATTCGGGCAGCTCGCTGTCCCCCCCCCCCCCATTACGCGCGAAGCGCAGAAGCTATGATGTTTCATGAAATTATTAGAGGAGAGGATTCCTTGAACCATTCTCGACTCTAAATCATTGTTTGAATTTATTTCGTCCCCCCCCCCCTCTCGCGCGAAGCGCGGAAACTTTGACCTTTCATAGTTTAATAAAATTATTAGAGAAGAATTAGAAGATTCGTTGTTCCATTCTCGACTCTAACTCCTTGTTTGAATTTAGGTCGTCCCCCCCCCCCCCTCTCGCGCGAAGCGCGGAAGCTTTGACTTTTCATATTAATTATTAGAGAAAGAAGAAGATTTGTTGTACCATTCTCGACTCTTATTTTTTGTCTGAATTCAGTTCCCCTCCCCCTCCGCGCGAAGCTCGGAAACTTTGACCTTCCATAGTATTGAAATTATTAGAGAAAGAATTAGAAGATTCGTTGTTCCATTCTCCACTCTAAATCCTTGTTTGAATTTAGTTCGTCACCCCCCCCCCCCTCTCGCGCGAAGCGCGGAAGCTTTGACCTTTCATTAATTATTAGGGAAAGAAGAAGATTTGTTGTACCATTCTCGACTCTTATTCCTTGTCTGAATTCAGTTCCCCTCCCCCTCCCGCGCGAAGCGCGGAAACTTTGACCTTTCATAGTTTAATGAAATTATTAGAGAAAGAATAAGAGGATTTGTTGTTCCATTCTCGACTCTAAATCCTTGTTTGAATTTAGTTCGTCCCCCCCCCTCTCGCGCGAAGCGCGGAAGCTATGACCTTTCATTAATTATAAGAGAAAGAAGAAGATTTGTTGTACCATTCACGACTCTTATTCTTTGTCTGAATTCAGTTACCCTCCCCCTCCTTTGACCTTTCATAGTTTAATGAAATTATTAGAGAAAGAATTAGAAGATTCGTTGTTCCATTCTCGACTCTTAATCTTTCTCTGAACGTAAAGCGCAGAAGCTTAACTTTTTTTTAAATTATTAGAGAAAGAAGACGATTTGTTGTACCATTTTAGACTCTTGATCCTTACTTGGATTTAGTTTTGACGTTTCATTAAATTATTTATAGAGAAAGAAGACGATTCGTTATACCGTTCTCGACTCTTAGTACTTGTCTGAACTGAGTCCCCTCCCGCGCGAAGCGCGTAAGCTTTGACGCTTCATTAAATTATTAGAGAAAGAAGACGATTCGTTGTACCATCCTCGTCTCTTAATCCTTGTTTGAATTCAGTTTCCCCTCTCTCCCACGCGAAGCGCGGAAGCTTTGACGTTTCATTGAATTATTAGAGAAAAGGATAATTCGTTGTTCCATTCTCGACTCTAAAATCTTGTTTTAATACAGTTTCCCCCCTCCTGCGCGAAGCGCGGAAGCTTTGACATTTCATTACATTATTAGAGAAAGAAGATAATTCGTTGTTCCATTCTCGACTCTATATCGTTGTTTGAATTTAGTTTTTCCCCGCTCGCGCGTAGCGCGGAAGCTTTGACATTTCATTAAATTATTAGAGAAAGAAGACGATTCGTTGTACCGTTCTCGACTTGTCAGAATTTCAAAAATATTTCCTTGTCTGCTCCTTTTTCGTCTTATGTCCTCTCACTGCCCCTACCGCCCCTGGCTACGCGCCTGCTTTACAGGGAAAATGAAACAATCATGATTGTGATAGCACACAATAAGACTAGTAGAAATGAAAGATTTATTACACCAACCATGGATAAATCCATGGTTTTACCAACATGAGTTCAAACACAAGCACAAGCGAGTTGGTATGAGCTGAATCCAAATGAAGGGCAAAATAAGAGTTGTGAAGCGGCCCTACCGCTAATTTAAAATTTGACTGTTGAGTATATAGCTTCTATTTAAAAGACATCCAAAATAGTGTGCCCTTTTTAAATTTCTCACTAAAGAGTGGTGACCTTTGTAGCGCAGGGGCTGTTTTTAACGTTTTACTTTGAATCCGCGGCTCGAGATTTTATGCGGCCGGCCCGGCCCCCTCTATTCAATGACGTTTGCCAAGCCTACTGGAATGACCCCAAATCTCCCGATTACAGTTTTTCCCTTATTCGTTGTTACTGTCACTAAGCGCCATTTCCTCCCCCCCCCCCCACCCCCCCCCCCCCACTCACTCAGTGTTATCTAGGGTACGCGCAATTATGTTCCCTCTCTTTGAAAGCACCCCTATATCACTGGTGTGTAAAGTCAGTACGGGCCGGACTTTGTTGCGTGAAAAGTAATCCTTTTTTGGAGATTTTGGAAACACAAATTGGGGGGGGGGGGGGGGGGGGGGAACTTTCTTCGTTATCATTTCTCCTTTTTTTCCTCTCTCTCTCTCTCTCTCTCTCTCTGTTTCTTTTTTCTTCTTTCTTTTCTCTTCTTCTTCTTCCTCTTTTTTTTTTTTTGCGCCGCCAATAGGGGGGCCGCGGCCGCCCCCCCCCCCCTGGATCCGCCACTGTATATGGATCACATTTTAGCATCAATGATTAAACGGAGTTAAGATATGGTAATATTAGCAAAGGCAAAAGAGATAGAGAAGAGACAGAAGATAAAGGAGCTAGGAAGGAGGGAAGAGAAACGGAAAGATAGAAAGAAAAAAAGGAGGGATAGTGGAGAGAAGAATAAGCCTGTGAAAGCATAAAGGAAACATATAAAGGAAGAGGGGAAAAGAGAGTGAGAAGTAAAACTAAATATATATATATATATATATATATTAAGAGAGAGAGAGAGATTGAAAGAAAGAGTATGTTATTTTATGTTACAGTGTTACTACTACTACTAATAATAATAATAACAATACTAATAATGATAATGATAACAATGATTAAAATAGGGTGGGAAAAGAAGAATAAAAGAAGAAGAAGAAGAAGTGGAAGAAAAAGGAGAAAAATAAGTAAAAGAAAAAAGAGACGAAGTAGAAGAAGAAAAAAATTAAACAAAGAAGAAAAGGGAAAGAAAAAAATATGAGAACAAGAACAAGCAGGCGATGACGAATAATCAATAACAAAGTCCGTTCACAAACATAAGGATGGATGGTACGAGTGTTTCAGAAACATTTTCTAAGTACCAATTAGTATCACACCCAAATCATAATTTCACTACAATGTAAACTATACTGCACATTCACCCTCCGATTTAGTCTGAAATCAGATCATCACTTGAGAGTTAATGAGAGATCGAATAGGGATTATTTTCTTAATTATACCGGTACATCATCATGTTTATAGCAGCGAAGCACATAGATTAACCACGAACCTTGGTTACTTCATCGAAGTTTTCTTTTTTTTGTTTTTTTATTTTTGGAGAATTTGAATTTGTTAAAAGGCGGATTATAATGGGGTCGCAAGACGCCAGTACCCGTTTTGGGGAGATGGGGACAACTTCCTTCGGGACAGCATCATTGGCTCGAGCTGAACACATGGTGGCATTACTGAACATTATTTTATGAAGTTTTAGGGCGGGGTTTTCACGTTTTTGGTGGAATCATTTCCTATCGTCTTTACAAGTTACCTATCAACTTGTCCATCTCTCTCTCTCTCCAAGTCTCTGCCCCCCCTCTCTCTCTCTCTCTCTCTCTCTCTGTATTCTTAAGTGTCTCTTGCTTTACTATCGGATGGGGCGCCTGGCCCCGTAGCCTCCCCCACTTCAGAATAATATCTAGACATTTTTCTTCATCAGTCTAAAGAAAACGTCCCATTCTCGTTTGAGGGGGGCGTCACGGGGTTCCCTATAATTTCACAATTCAGGATACGCCACTGTTTTTAGATGCATCTCAGGAAATGTTTGAAGGCCATTTTACTTGAAGAATAACACGATATGGTGCTTGCAGAGAAGTGATTTATCATTATCATTTCACCTCCCTTCCACATCGGTGATCTTGTTTGGAGCTTGGAAAGACTTTGAATTTGCAGAGGAAAAATGGCGCCCTTTCTTCTCGCTTTGATCATATTTGGAGTCGCAGCTAGGTCGGATGGTAAGTGACAAGAGGATATCCCGTTTAATCTACGTTGTCAGTTTCATCTGATGACAGGTATATATGCCGCGATGTGCTTTCGATAAAGAAACAATAATTGTTCTATGATTTAAAAAAATGTGAAGAGGCATAGACAGGCTTAATGACATGTTAAGTTAGTCATGCCAGGCGACAAATGTTATATTTATTGATACATATTGAGATATAATAAGTGTATTCTTCAGAGAGAAATTATGCTCTACACTTTTCAAACATTCAAATATCACTTATTTAATAGATATTACTAAACGTTCAATACTCAGATACTAATAGAAAGGCTATATATATGCGCTGAGCATTTTTACAACATCCTGATAAGTGATTCCTCCAAAACGTTATTGTAAATTAAGCTAAGTTTAAAAGAAACTTCAATTTTACATCTGCCAATAGTCAGTAACGGCACATTAGCAAGCGTTGTAAAGTACATAGTTTCCAAGAAAATATGTAGAAAATACAAAAGTGATTTTACCCCTCCCTTCCTTTCTCTTCTCCCCCTCCCTTCCCACTTGTTTCCTTTCCTCTGGTTCTCAATTTCCTCTCTCTCTCTCTCTCTCTCTGTCTTTCAACCTATATGTCTTCGTCTCTAAATCTATATTTTCTCCTATTAATCTCTCTCCCTTGCTCCCTCCCTCCCTCCCTTACCCCCTCCCCCTTCCTCTCTCTCTCGCTCTCTCTCTCTCTCTCTCTCTTTCTCTCTCTTTACTATCTCTCTTTATTATCTCTATCTCCATCTCTCTTCTACTCCGCTCCCTTTCACTCTCACCTTTTCCCCTTCCTATTCCTCCATTAACATTCCACTAACTCCCTTTGTCTCTCTCTGCCTCACAGCTCGGTCAAAGACCAGTGACATCCCGGGCGACGACGAAGACGGGTACCAACTCGACGTCAATCTCTACGAACTCTGTCACAACCTGACGACATATGACGGCGGGATGGTCGACTTCGTGGTCGAAAACATCTGCCCGTTGGTCTTCGGTGATGAAGAGGAAGGCTCTCACTGGCCTGGCAGTGGGCCTGAGATTTTAACCTTCACAGATTTAGGTATGTTTGTGATATGTTGATGACGACGACGATGATGAGGATGATGATGGCAAAAATATGGAAGATGATGATGATGATGATGATGATGATGATGGCGAGAATAGGGATGATGATGATGGCGAGAATAGGGAGGATGATGATATTAATGAAGATGATTCACAGCTTTTCTATGGCGCCATAATATGCCTGTTAAAATTGTTCAACGGTGCAAGCTCGTGCACTCTTTGTTGGTTGGTCTAATTAATGTATTCATGATGTAGTCCGAGCAGGTCGATTATTGAAGGCCAAATAGAATAAAAAGAAGGTTTCCCTGGAATGCTGTGAATATTCCTAAAAAATGTACGTTGACAATAATTGTATGAAATATTCAGATGAATCACGAATGTATATATTAAAAATCTCTCTCTCTCTCTCTCTCCCTCCCCCCCCCCCCTCTCTCCCTCCCTCACTCCCTCCATCTGTCCCTCCCTCCATACCCTCTCGCTCCCCCTTCTCTCCTTCCCTACTTATTCTTCCTCCCTTCATCAATCCATCTTTCACCCTCTGCTCATCACCCCTTCTACCAATCCACCCTCCATCCATCCTTCCATCCCTCCATCATCTTCTCACCTCCCCAGTCCAAGCGCTCACCCCAAATTTCATTTACCAGAGACTCATCAGAGCGATGGTCGAGAGTACCTGCAAATCCGAGGGCAAAGGGCAAAGGCTAGATTCCTTCTGTCGTTTCCATCGGGACGGCATCGAAGTCAGCGGCGTAGATGGTGGTAGTGGTAGTGGTAGTGGTAGTGGTGATGGGAGTGGTGATAGAAGTGGTAGTGGTGATGGGAGTGGTGATAGAAGTGGTAGTGGGGATGGTGTCTATGACTTTTCTGTTTATTGGAGTAGTATGATTGACGGTGACAATTTCTGGTAAATGAAGAAAAAAATCATGAATCGTAAGACACATTAATTTTGAATTGCGATTATAAGTCGATTAGGTAAAAATGTATCACGTTTATGTAGTGCTACACACAACATGTTTTGGTCTTGACATGCTTGATGTAAGGGTTTCCATGTGGCTATACTATTTCAAAATATTTCAAAATAAAAGCTTCAAATGTTACTTCTACAAAGAGATATTGCAATTTTAAATTTCAGTGAACAGCGATACATCTTTTATTTATTTTATTTTATTTTGTTTGTATTTTTTTAGGCAAAAGACTCTTTGCTCTCTTTATCATGGTAATGTTTTTCTGGGTAAGTTTACTTACGTTTTCGATTTGTTTAGATCATTTCAATTCTTCATCTATCAAAATTCCTAAGCATTTGGTGAATTGAACTCTTTTGATCAAATTGCCATTTAATGAAATGGGGAAAGATTCAACTTTCCTGAGATTAGCACAATAATCTATTAACATGACACAAGATATGTCAGTGTTAAGAACGAGACGATTTTTCTTATTCCATGCTTGTTGAGTAAACTAGATAACGCATCGTATATATCCACTCGCAAAAAATAGGACTGTTTATATTTCGTGCCACATTCATTCAAAATCGAACGCAGAAAAGATGAATAAATCTATGATTGATACAACAAAAATAAAAAATAAAATAGCAACTGGTACAGAGTACCTTTAAAGGGACTTGGTAACATTGTTCACATGAGAGAAAGTGGTGTTAAGGTAGTGACTTTAATGCTAGATGTACAATTAAAGATAATCTGAACCTTTGAGTGAGAACGGACCATTATTAATTCTACAAATCGAGAAAAAATGATCTGATCGATTCCTTAATTCTCCCATCTCCCATCTACAATGTTACAATTTAGGTACATTTTAGGTGAATGTAAATCGTCACAAAGCAATAAATTGGCTCTGTATACCATCCCAAACATTTGAGTGTTGAAAGATTTTTAATAGCCTGTTTTATGTTGTTTTTTTTCATGGAAAAATGGTTGGGGAAAATTCAAAAATGGTTGGGAGAATTTACTGTTAATCACTGTTAGAAGGTGTTGCACAGTGACGCCTTCAAAGAAACCCATATATATCTTTGTGGTTTGAGAATTTGTTCAGAATTGTTTGCATGTCAGAGGATAAGTACAGTAGAAGGAATATAATAACTAACATTTTATACAAAAAATTTGCACTTTTTTCTTCAACCTTCAACAATTTAGCCAATACGATCATACTATTTCTGCTCCACTTGCCAAAAAAACACGGTGACCGCTAATTAATTATTTAAATCAAAAATAACAATACATGAGCCGGCTAATTGTGGGTAATATAAGCAGCACGAAAATGCCAACATAATAGCCAACATCGGCATAGGCTGAAATACGACGTAAAAGGCGTTATTTAGTGTTTTTTCAACGGTTTTTTTTCAAATTTTTCAAAATATCTGATATTTGTGGTGGTACACAAGTATTAGAATTTGTTATATTTCAGCCGTCTCTGAACCGATTTTGATCAAACAAAGATGATTTTGTCATTTAAATATTATGTCCTTTCAAATTTGACACTCAGTTTTTCATTATCTCACAAACAAATTATTTTGTGTAGCGCCCTCTGCAACAGAACTCAACTTTCCCTTTAAAGCTTTTCGTCTTTTCGAGCATTATTCTTTCGCGCACTTTGTTCCTACACTCTAAAAAAAAGATACCCAATATTGGGTAAAATTTCACACTTTACGAGGGTAAAAAGGGAACATGCATGTTTGTTGGGTAAAATTTGACACAGGGGTGGTTGGGTAAAAATTTACCCAGCAAATGTTTAATGTTTTACCCAACTGATGTGCGATATATTTGACCCAATGTAAAAGGTAAAATGTTACCCAACGACAACCATGTTCCCTTTTTGACACAACATTGGGTAATTTTTACCCAACTCATCCTGGGTACTCGTTTACTTTGTTCTTGTGTAATTTTTTACCCAAAAGTTGGGTAAAATTTTAACCCAACCTTATTGTATGAGTTTTTATTTTTACACAGGTTTGGGTAAAAAAGAAAATTTGTCCGAGGAGTTGGCTGGAAAAGTACATGCTATATGTAGTGTAGTGTATAAGTAGCAGACCTCTCTCTCTCTCTCTTGGCTAGACAGTCTTTCGCTTGGCGTGCTCGCAGTAGGTGACTGCATTGCGGATGACATTCTCCATACGAATAATGTGTTGTCCAGAATTATGAGGAATTTCCTGTCCATATTGAGAAGATTTACACGCATTCGTGCAAATAAATGCTGCGGAAAGACACAAGTGCATGACCGTGGTCTATTTCGAACAAAGTCGTCCATCCTCTGTCGATCTTGAACACGATTAATTCGATGAACAGCTAATTCGGAACGACCGACCACGCTAGCGCTTCAATCATAGTTTTTAACATCAGTTGTGTCATAATACCAACGTTTAGGTGTCAAAACTTGTGTTTACCCAACGCGTGGTTCAAATATTAATCTGCATCGTTACTTTCTTACCCCGGAAATGCGCACAGTCGAATTTTGATATGACACTATGGCAAGTGTAATGAAATTTCGAAGGGACTTGGTGTTTGGCACAAGGTTGGGTAATACTTTACCCAACTTTTTGAAACAGCGATTTTGCACAGCAAAATTTTGCACTCTATTTTTAGAGTGTAATAGCATCAGTTTATATTGTATTGTCCAACTTCGGCTTTCTGATCATTATTGCAAATTACTCTGATGATTGCAAGACGAAAAGTCGTTGCTATTCACCAAGTTTGCAAAATAGATAGTAGAGAGAATCTTCGATTTGTCCTATAAATGCTTTAATAGAAGAATCATGTCCTCCTGTTTTATATAAGTTAAAGTAACCTAGTCATAGTTGCATGGTGAGACAGAGTTTTGTTAAACACGGTCTGTTGTTAGACAAAATATATGATTTAGGCAGAGGAGGCTGCTGGAAATGCGAAAAAGGTCATAACTTCTCAATCGTATTCTATTATTTGTCTTGCTAGATATTTGTTTCAGTAAATTAGTACCACGTTTGACCATCTTTGGGGGAGTTTTCTAGGGTATTACGAGTTTGATTGGAATTGTAAGTTCTTTCGGCTCAGATACCAAATAGGGTTTTTTGTTTCTTTATCTAGACCTTGCAATACGATTCGATATTTCTCCTTTTCATTTTATGCTTGGCAGAATTACATCTTGTTTGTTGTTCTGTTTGTTTGTTTATTTACACTGACAATAAATTCAATCTTAACGGAATGTTCATGTTTTCATGGGAATTTCCAGAGTATCTCAGTCTACTATATGATCTTTTTTTTTTTTACGTGTAAGTGAATGTAAAATGAGGGCAACAAGGTCCTACGTTTATTTATTTAGCTCTGTGTTATAATTTTTAGAGAAATGTAAAGCATGTTAAAATTAACGTCAATAACGTCATCATAACAACAACAACATATTTTTTTAAAAACCAACCCTTGTAGTAAGTTCATTTGGATAAAAGCAGACAAATCAGAGAAACATAATGGCAAAAGTTTGAAATAAATCGGACCAATAATAATAAAGTTATGAATGTTTGAAAGAAAAGATCATTACAGCCATATGTCAAACAGGCAATTGTGTTAGTGAGTTGTGACATAATAATATTAGTGAAGGGGTGGGGAAGAGAAAAGAGGGAGAGGACAGAAGGAGAGAGGAAGAGAGAGAGAGAGAGGGAGAGGAGAGAGTGGAGCGAGAGAGAGGGAGAGAGAGAGAGAGAGAGAGGGAGGAGAGGAGAAAGAGGGAGAGAGAGAGGGTGACAGAATATTAGCATTCTACACATCCTTGTATGAAGGATGGAGACGGATATAGAAGAGATGATTACTGCAGGTTTGCATTCAAGTTTATGCTCAAGTTCAAGTTTTCGTTCATAGCTGACCTTTGAAATAAATGACAATTTTCTGAGTGTAAACTTTTGTTTGACTCACACGGTATAGCTGAGGCGATGAGCTGAGCTTAATTAACGCGAATTGATTGTGAATTCGAGTACTCCACAAAAATAATGTCATCGAGTCGAAAGCTACTTTTTTTTTTGAAAACTTTGGATTTTTAAGCTTTAGATTTCGAGTTTTTAGAGAGCCGTATCTCTTCTGACATACACTAAAAAAGCACATAAGCTAATTGATATAATTGTTTTTCTATGGCTCAAAAGTTTTCCATTGATATTCAATTTATTTATTTCATTTTTCACTTTTCGACAGGTTCTTCAGCTTTTCACAATAACATTTTGTTTTAATATAATAATTATTTATTAACCTCACCCGGAGGGGTGTGGCGTCGACGCAAACAATTGAAAAAAGCCAGATACCCCCCCCCCCCCTTGCCGATTGTCTGGTGTTGTCTCTCCAATTAGTTTCGTATATAAGCCTTTTGATTGAATCTATGATAAAAATGAAACAAAAGTGACAAAATTGGGTGTTTTCGTAAGTCGTACCTTTTTTTGTTGTTAACTCTTTAATAGTTTCTGGGATAAACAAAGCACAGTACAGACAATTAAGTGAACCTTAGAATATTTCATACGAAATCATACATATAACAGATCTTTGTGGATGACCATTTAATATTTACGATAAATATTTCAATTGTTTATCAAATATCTTAGTTTCTCTGTCAACCAATTCATTACTAATGTACCATAGATTTAATACTTAATAACTATTTCCATAGTTGCATTCAATATGATAAACTCTTCGAAATTCTTAACAAGATAGCTCTAAAGTATCCATGTACATAATTGTCGTCGCAACGCAACGCCATTTCATATAACTTGACATTATACATGCACATACATGTAGTGTACGTATGATCTTAAAGGTTTAACTTCTGATGAATTGATCACTTTTCCTTAAGTGTTCGTTAATTGTGTGAGTGTAACAAATGTCAAGAAGGTAAATCTTATTTTCTATGCAAATGATATCACTGTTTTATACCTGACTTTTCACATTTCACATTTACGCTATTCTAATGAACGCTACGCACTTATTTACATTTACATCGATATATTTACATAGAAATCGCAAACATACATCTGAACAAGACAGATAAGAGTATAAGGTCAATTAAGAATATTTACATACAGGTATGTAATATATCTCGCGTCATATTTAAAATCATCCAAATGAAGGTTCGACTAT